ATATACTAAAGGGTTTTTTTTAGTTATTTTGCTACAGTGACCTGAATGAAAAGGATCCATAGATGTTATTGTCTTCTCCAGAGACGCATACCACTTGCTCTCAGCTTCAGTAGAGCTCTCACCTGTTCTTTCTTTTTAGTGACACTCCTCATCCTTTATTGTTATTATTTCTGTTTTCTCTAGAATCACTCATTAGACATTTGGCTATTTTTATTTTCACTTATTTTTTATTTTTGCCTTTTGGGTGTTGATGCTCTGACTTGTTTTATGAGAATATTTGCCAACTAATTTTTTATGAGGCAGTGTAAGCATTTAGGAATGTGGTGGCTAGAATTAGTGACATATAAATCAACTCATTAAGATAATGTATTTAAAAATATTTAGCTGACAATTCTTATATATTTATCTTATTACTCTTGATATCTTGTTTATAGGTTCCCATGGGGCTGGTCATCCTTCAGAAACTTTAACTCCTTTGGTAACATGGGGAGCAGGAATTAAGTATCCCCAAAAAGTATCAGCTCAGCAATTTGATGATGATTTTTTAAAAGGTATAAACATTTATCTGTTTTGTTTTTGTAAATATATGTGAAAATATAAGTAAAATTAAATTTAAAAATTAAGTTAATTTTTAAGAATCACGTTTCTAATTATAATTTTAGATTCTTCATTTTGATATTTTTTTCATTACTATTTCCATGATTGGGTTTTTCTCTTTTTGAAGTCATTTGCTAAACAAACCTGAGGCTTCTTAGAGGTAAATATAAATATAAAATAACAACTCAAACAAAAAACAGTGTAACAGATGAGTATAATCTTCTGAAATAGGCCTTTGCCTTCTTTGAACTTAACACTCATAAGAACCTTAAAATTACTGTAAATAAGTTGGGTACATGTAGAGTTGCTGGGGAGGCCGAAGAGAGTTGAGCCTAGAAGTTTAAAACCAGTTAGATTCCTTATCTTAAAATGAAAAAGATTGAAAGAAAAACCAATCATAAACAAAAGTTATAAGTACTACCATAAGAGCAAATAAGATGATTAGGAATGTTAGTACTGGGCTCCTGGGGTGTGTGTGTGTGTGTGTGTGTGTGTGTGTGTGTGTGTGTGTGGTAGTTCTGGCAATACAACCCAATGCTGAGTAAACTCCCAGCCCTAAAATTTATTGATACTTTATAGTGTAAGATATTTTTCAGAAATTAATCAAATAGTATATGTGTTTGCAACGAGGACAAGAGAGGATATGTATGTGAAGGCGAGGGAAAGAGGACTCCAGGCAGAGGAATAAGATGGGAAGAGCTTAGCTTATCTGAAGACAGAAGGAAGGCTGATAATGCTCTGGCTGGGGAGAGACCAATGAATTGAGAGGATGGAGAGGTGAGAAATGGGTAGATTGTAAGAGACATCAAAGGCTGTAGGGAGGATCATGGACAGAATTCTGAGTGCAGTGCTAAATCATTAAATAGTGTTAGAGCACTACCAGAATTTGTAGTTACCTGAAGTAGCTGTATGGCTGCTCAGAGGTAAATGAGTTATCTTGAATTTTAATACTGAATCTTGAGGCTGGGGAGATTAGCTCAGTAGAATAAGTGCTTCCCTGGCAAGCGCAAGGGCCTGAGTTCAATCCCGGTTCTGCCAAAAAAACCCTGAATCTACCAAAAAAATTATACACACTTTAATAGTTTGCCATACTAATAAATGCCTGGAAGCTAACAGCTATGTTGGGCACCTTCTGTAATTGTAGAGGCCAAAGATAATTTATGTTAATCTCATGATATCTCAATAAATTTAGTTTTAAAAAATTTATAAATTTTCTTTTTTTTATTTTAGAGAAAACAAAAATAAACATAGCAATGAAACCAAATTTCAAAACAGATTAGTAGGACGGTTACAATAGTTGATACACTGCCTGTCCTTGTCTTAGTAGGTGTTCAGAGTAGAAGAAATGGGTATGATATTTTGTCTGTATGGTATTAGCACAAAACTTCCTTTTTTAATGGACTAACAGAAACTAGCTGTATAACAACAATCTCAGGGTGTGTGTGTGTGTGTGTGTTACCAGGGATTGAACTTGGGAACCTTGTTTACCTGTTTTCCAGGCAGGTGCTTATGCTACTGAGCTAGCTCCCCAGCAAGGGTTTTTTTTTTTTTTTTCTGATGTATGCTTTTTTGGTGGACTCTGTAGAAGGTAAGATAAGTGGTATATTTATACTTCAGAGACTTTATTTTGGCATTTTATTTCTCAGTAACATGATAATCAGATGACTTCAAGAACCATCACAGAAAGAGTGTTATTTATATAAATATTGCATTTTTTCCTCATCAAGTGGTTATTATAAATTTTTGGCAGCTGATCATATTTTTAAAATATATTAGCTTATAGGAAATTTCATTATAAAAATATCTTAGGACCCTTTTAATATATCTGAAAGCCATTAAATCAAAACATAGCCTTTTGTAATTACTTGTTTTGATTACTATTTATTACTTGTATTGGTCAGTGTTTTTTTTTTTTTTTTTTGGTCAGTGTTATTAAAGTTTCTGGTTTTACATGTTGTGAGAAAGGAAAATGTGGCTACATTTGAAGGCAATTTTAATAATTCTGTCAGATTACAATTTTGAACATTTAGAGTTAGTAACTATAGGAATATCACTCCTGCAGTTTAAATTTAACAAGCAGCTTCCATCCCCAAAAAACATTTGGATTGACTACTATATTATCAGTTGCCTTAATAACTTTCTGAAACATGCTGATAGCTTTTATCATTGAGTGTGTGGGTTTTTTTGTTTTGTTTTGTTTTTTTACTTTTATCTTTCTTAGCTTTTGATGTTTTGAGACAACTTTCTTAGCTTTTGATGTTTTGAAATAGTTCTCTCCAAATGAGGAATTAAAAAGTTTAAAAAATTATGAAAAACACCACATACTGACTTTTTGTTTATTCCTTTAAGGTAATTAAAACAAACAAACAAACAAACAAACATATAGGGCCAGCCAAATAGCCCAGTTAATTAAAGCTCCTGCAAGCAGAAGCAGGGGCTGGGTGGATCCCATGCCTGCTGTTCCGGCCCCACCCCCGGGGTTGCACCGAGATGGCAATTCAGACTGGGTGTGGTAGCACATGCCTGTAATCCCAGCTCTTGGGAGGCTGTAAATAGTAAAATCACTATGAGTCCAATCTAGTAGTGAGACCCTGAACACCCTATAGAACCTTCCCTAAAAATACAACAAAGAAAAAGCAACTTAAAAAAACATATACCTTTGTGCTTTTTTAAACTACCTTTTCAAATTCATGGTTGGCTTAAAAGAACCAAGTTTCCAATACTTATCTTTTCCATGAAGTATTGGATATTCCTAATAACTAAATGATTTATTTTTAAAATCTTAATATCAGATCTTGTTTCTGATTATGTCTTTCAGAATGGGGCCTGGAGAAATGGAAGAGGAGAGATGTCAATCAGGTATTCATTACAATTTAACCACATTTAATTTTATCTTCTATAAATTGAGGTAAAAATATAAAAAATAAGGGCCAGGGAGATGGCTCAGTGGAATGAGCACTTCCCTGGCAAGCGCAATGGCCTGAGTTCAATCCTTGGTTCTGCAAAAAATAATAAATAAATAAATAAATAAAATAATTAGTAATGACAAAAGGTTTTTGAAAATATTTCACTCTAGTACAGAGAATACTTTTTAGTGCACATGTTTTTAGCACAACTAATTTCTCTTGTATAAAATTTTTAAAACCTACATAAAAATAAAAGAAGATTCCCTACAAATAATACTGGATAATTAAATTTTATGTTAACTGAAATTTGCATGCTTGTTTAATTTTTATTATATTTCATCATGGTTGCACTCTATATTCCATCTACAGATCTAACAAAACTCTTACTAAGGTTTCCTTCCTTGCTTTTTCCTTCCTTCTTTCCTTCTTTTCTTATATCACTTGCTCTTTCTTTTCTAACATATGTTTTACCTTTAACCATATTTTAATTTTTACCCAACCAGCCTCCTTTCACATGTAAGGGCTGGAGATACATTAGGTCTTTGGAATTTGCAAGAGTCATGTTCCTAGGGCATCCACAAATTGTGAAAAACAGCTAATTTCAAATATGGTCAGAAAAATGCTTATGAATGCCTATTTTTAGAGTTTAAACCCTAAATATGCTATGTCTCCTACAGTTATGTAATTTAATTTAATAAAGTACTATATTAATAAAGCCTTAGAATTTGCAGGGTGTTTTGGTAGCACATCATAGGGATCTTAGGGCTTTAAGAAGAATAGAACCAAAAACACTTGAGATAGCTACACTTGGTACAACAACCTGTAAAGTTGCAGGAAAGCTGGTGCATCTGCTGGAGATGGGTTAGCACAGCAGCCAGTCAGCGGCAAGGAGAACTAAATAATGCTGTCGGATTGGCTACTTGTAACCCTCCTACCAAAAAGGGAATTGCAGAGATTGTTTGTGGTTTTGGTGAAATTGTGGGAGCTTCCATAAGCAATTACTAGTTTGGGTCTAAGGAAAAATCTGCAAAGGACTGAGGAATGAACTCTGAGACGTGACTTTGTGGGGTATACTGTTTAGTTCAGTGCTAGAGTGCTTGCCTACTGTGCACAAAACTTTAGGTTTAATCCTCACTGCTGTGTGTGTGTGTGTGTGTGTGTGTGTGTGTGTGTGTGTGTACCTCATGTATGAAGGGGTATTAAAAACCATAAAGACAGTGTTATGGGAGGTAGAAAAATGTAGGCAGAGACCATGTGGGAGCAAATGAGCCTTACAGGCTTTATAATAAAAGGTTGTGGCTGGGCATGGTAGCACACACCTGTAATCCTACCACTAAGGAGGCTGAGGCAGGAGGATTGTTGCAAGTTTGAGACCAGCCTGGTCTACAGAGTGAGCTCAAGGTCAGCTTGAGTTGCATAGTGAGACCCTGTCTCAAAAAGAAGAAAAGTAAAATAAAAGAGGTTGTGAAAGTCTTTGAGGTATTTGAGCCCCTGGATGATGACATGATTCAAAATTTTTACGAAAGAATTCTCTGGTTGCAGCATGAACAGATTGGGAAATGCCAACAGTAGAGTTAGGGAGAAGGAAAAAAAGACAACTAAGAATACTCTGAAGATTTCCAGTTTTCTGGGAGATAGATTAGTAAAGACATATCAGTGGTAACAAGGATGAAGAGCATAGGGCCTAACTTGACAAACTTGGGAGCTGCTGATGAGATTGAAGAAACTCAGTAGTATGTTGTTAATTGGCCAGAAAGGGAGTAATCTATTCAGTGACGCTGAAAGGTTTAGTAATACTAACAGCATCACCAAGAATTATAAATTGACAGGTACTGGGAATTGAACCCAGAGCCTTTTCACTAAACTATACCCCCAGTCTTTTTTTTTTTTTTTAATTTTTATTTTGAGGCAAGGTCTAACTAAATTACTAAATTGCTCAGGCTGGACTTAAACTTGGAGTCTTGTTATTACAGGCTCCTAGAGTACTGAGATTATGGGTGTGTGCTACCATGCCTGGCTCATTTACTTTTTAAACTAGTCAAATAACTGAAGTATTGAAGAAATTAAATAACCTACCCATGGTTTCAGAATACAACTAAAGATTTGAAACTGGGCGTGCTGATTTCTGAGCATTTTAATGCCTGAAAAATTGTATAGACTAATATAAAAATCAGTTACATTTAGAAAAGTTAAGCTTGTTAGTTCACATTGGAGGTGTACTCTTTGGGGTGACGAGGAACTGCACAAATTGGACTGAGGAGTAATGGGAGATGAGAAAATGATGGCAGGAAGCACAAGCAAGTCTTGTGAAAACTGAACTCAAAAGGGAGATGCCCAAAAAAGTATTTGGGCTCTTTTTTGTTTATGTATTTCCTGAGATTGAAAGACTGGCTAGACTACCTTCTGATTCTTTCCTTAGTTAATACACAGGCTTCCCCAGTTGAAGCCCTCCATTGCTGTGTATTTTCTGACTACTTAAGGCTTCCTTTTACATGGTATTGAAAAACTTACATAAAATGGTCATGTTTTTAGACAAAAGGATAACATGTTTTGTTTTAGTATGTTTTACATTGAGAACTCTTAAAAATTATGTTTTAGATTTGTTTTTCATGAGTTTGTGCATCTTTATCAAATAATATTTTTAGAGATTAATATCTTTGAGTATAAATAAAGGTAAATAATTATAGTTATGATTTCAAAATATAGTTAATTTCTATGGTTATACTGCATCTCTAGATTTCTTACAATTTGATTTTTCTATTTATAGGCTGATATTGCACCATTGATGGCTTCCCTTGTTGGAGTCCCATTTCCCCTTAATTCAGTGGTAAGGAATAAAATTTTATTACCAATACCCAGCATCAAAAATTACATAGGAAGTCATTGTTCTGTATTTCTGTATAAGCTTTACATTTAACAATGTATATATGCTTCTTTCCTTTCCTCCTCTTTCCTTCCGTTCTTCTCTTTCTGTTCTCTTCCACTGTCTTCCCATCTCTTTTTCTCTCCTCTCCTCTCTTGCCTTACTCTCCCATTTCTTTCTGTCTTCCTCTTTTTTTCTGGAGATCAATCCTGGGATCTTGTGCATTCTAGGTAATCACTCCAACACTGAGCTTTATCCCAAACTCCTCAATTTTTCATTTTCTAACATGCAAACGATTTATATTTTTGTAATTTAGATACAAGTGATGGAAAACAGCAGAGACTGAGTTCATTTAAAGAATAATTATTGAACCCTGAAGATAGCTCAGTAGAATAAGTGCTTGCCTGTGCTTACCTGGCAAGCACAGGATCCTGAGTTCAATTCCCAGTACTGAAAAAAAAAAAAAAAAAAAGTATACTTATTGGAAAGATAGGATTTACTAAATCACAGGGTACTCAACTATAAAAATGACTGGGAAGAAGAAACCACAGTCATGGTCCCATGGACTAATCTTCTTGGGATGACAACATTAGAGTAGAATAATATCTTAACCATTTCAATTCTGTTCTTTGACTCTTCGCAGTCAAATTCTACAAGGCCTAGCCTAGGTTATATGCCTATTCTTTAGTAAATGAGAGAAAGGCCCCTATTTATAGACTCACCATTCTATAAGATGTGATCAAAATATTCAGTGAATGTTTGAATATTTTAAAACATATTACAGTAAATACGCATTGCTATTAATCCCTACTCTAAAAATACTCCCCTTTGCTTAGAACACTTGCTTCTTTCTGAAGCACTTTTAGAAGTCCTCTTCCATGAGTTCCTTTATGATATATGATGAGCAGTCAGTCAATGCTACTTCCAAGTTTCATCCAATGGAAAGGTAGCCCATAAAAATGTTATAGGGTATCTATATCCATCTCAACCCCCAGATCTGGCACTATGACTTCTGGCTCTTCCCCAAAGTCAAAATAATTATGAAATGTAAATGTTTCAAAGTTATTGAGGACATTGAGGCAGTACAACTAAAAAGATACTCATGAAAGAGGACTTCCATAACTGTTTTGAAAAGTAGCAAGGTGGGGTAAGTGTGTTTTAAGCAAGGGCAAATATTTTCAGGGGGATTAATGGCAAATCTTTTACGTAGTAATTTTTATTTTATTTTAAATTTTATGTATTTGGTACAAGTTCTCACTACACAGGTTGGACTGATAGTGATCCTCCTGTCTCAGTCTCCCCAGTGCTGGGATTACAAGTGTGCCTCACTATGCCCTGTTTCAGTGGCCAGCTCAGTGCACCCAGGGCGGGGCCGGCACAGCATGTTGTCCTGGGGATCAAACCCGGGTCCCTGCACTTGCCAGGCAGGTGCTTAGACTGCCGAACTATCTCTCCAGCCTTATGTATTAATTTTTAAATTTGAACATTCAACATATTTGTTGGTCCCATGTGTATATCCAGTGAGGAGAGTTTTTCAGCAGAAAATAGTAATACTGTTACAGAATACTGTTATAGATCCATACTGTTTCTGGACCTCCATACAGAAAAGCCAAAAGCAAAATAAAACAAGATACTATTCTAAGCAGCTGCTCTTACCAGCTCTTCAGAATCAAGTTGACCTTAAAAATATATCATCTCAGGCAGTGGAGATAGCTCAGTGGTCTAAGCATCTGCCCAGGCAAGTGCAAGGGCCTGGGTTCAATCCCTAGTACCACATGCTGTGCTGGCCTCCCCCCAGGTGCACAGAGCAAAACTGGGTGTGGTGACACATGCTGATAATCCCAGTACTGGGGAGGCTGAGACAGGAGGGTCACTATGATGTCCAACCTGTATAGTAAGACCCTGTACCAAATACATAAAATTAAGAAA